GGTGAGGGGAGTAGATGTCCCCGAGCCAATTAAATTACATTTCCCATCCTCCCCAGCCTGGTGGGGTGAGATTAGAGGTCCCCGACCCACTTGAGCTACACCTCCCATCCTCCCCAGCCTGGTGGTTCAACCCAAATTGGGTGTCTGTGTTCGCTCGGGAGGGTCAGATTATTTTTCCTTCCTTCCTCTCTTTCCTTTGGCTATAAGAGCTAGATCAGACTTGGAGGTCCAGGTTCAAATCCTCCCCTCCACCTGCCAGTCAACTTCGCGGGCTTCGATCACTTCCTGCCTTTCGACCGAACCTACCTCGCAGGGATGTGGTGAAATAAATTGAGGAGGGAAGGTTTTCTTGTGTTTGTTGCCATCAGCTGACTGCAGCAAGTGTAGGATTTTGGTGCAACGAAAAGTTTTTGTTTCTTGCTTTTCATTGTTTTCTGGCATTAGAATAAAACATCGTTATACGTAGAATTTCTATCTTCCCTTCAGCAATATTTAGATATATTTTCTTTCCATATGCTCAGGCAGAACATATTAATAAGGGGGTCATTCCTCAATTCTCCCCACTGAAATGGGGAGGCCAAAAAAGAGACATTGCCTGTATGATGTAGCAAACTTGGTGAAGCTAATAAGCAGGGTTGGGTTTTGCCAGTTCCTGAACAGGAGACCATTCAGGGACCCCATAATAGTTTATTTTAATTTCATGGTAAGTGATTGGCCTAATGATGATTGAAGTGAGGCCCTTGGTGCTCTCTGAGCTTGGTGGTTTTCTTGCAGGCGTTTCACTGCCAGACTAGATAATGTCATCAGTATTAGAAGGGGCATTTGCAACAAACCCCATTCCTTTCTAGCACTGATGAAGCTACCTTGTTGGGTTATGAAACGTCTGCAAGAAAACCATCAAGCTCAGAGAGCATCAAGGACCTCACAATCCTCCTCTTCCTCCTCTTCTTCTTCTTCCTCTCTACAAACTTCCCTTTAGCACTGATGACGTTACCTAGTTGGGCATGAAACATCTGCAAGAAAACCACCAAGTTTAGAGAGCACCAAGGAGCCCACAGTTCTCTTTCTCCTCCTCCTCCTCCCCAAAAGCCCCACTCCCCACTAGCACTGATGATTGTTACCTAGTTGGATCACAAACCATCCTCAAGAAAACCACCAAGCTCAGAGAACATCAAGGACCCCACAGTTACAAATAGTTACAAACCCCGAGCTACAAATAGTTTCTACTGATAATTGAAGTATTGCACTGTTGACAAAATAGGTACTTTCCCACCCAACCATTGTTGCATGAACACAGATTAGGGAAACTTGGATCAGATTGATTTTATGGCACTTGAGAAGTCAGGCAGAAAAAACAAAACAATCCGGCTTTGTCAAATAAACAGTTTGCTCTAAAGGTTAGAAAAGCTGACTTAGGTAGTTTTAACAAGTGACTTAAATAGAGAAGTTTCACTTTTGTCAGGAAGTTCAGAGTTGTGGCATATTGTTGGTTTTTCCTATTCAGTTTCAGTCTTGGGTGTTATTTAGAAAAAATCTCCATGCTTGTTGTGTCTTTCATTTTTAGTTTTGTGTCAGCTCTTTATGTTCCAGCTTTCATACGCATAAATTAAAAGTTTCCCTTGTTTTTTTTTTATTTTGTTTTGCTTCTAGTAATTGAAAACAAAAGTAATTCTATTTTAATAAATAAACAATATGCAACAATGATCCTGCAGAAAGAAAAAGAAAATAAAACTAAACCAAAAGAGGAACAAATTCACGTGAGACAAATATTTACAAATAGATATGGATATATTAAAATGATAGCCATATTTCATGGTAATCTTTCATATGGGGTCTCTTGCTCAAGCAAAGGGGTAGGTAGAGTATTCCAGACATTGACTTGCTGAAGTTGTATTTCCTGCAATCAAGTTTGGTGCGGTTAACCATGAGTTTGTATCTATTGTGTGCTCTTGTGTTGTTATGGTTGAAGCTGAAGTATTCATTGACAGGTAGGATATTGCAATGTATGATTTTATATACCATGCTTAAATCAGACCGAAGACGGCGTAATTCAAGGTTTTCTAGTTCTAGAATTTCCAGTCTGGTGGCATAAGGTCTTCTGCAACGAGTAGAGGGGTGGAGAACTCTTCTTGTGAAATATTTCTGGACTTTCTCAACTGTGTTAATATCAGATACGTAATGTGGGTTCCAGACTGATATTAATACAATAGTTTTCAATTCAATAGTGTAGAGAGTGAAGGATGTGTGTTTTTTTTTTATTTTTTTTTTATGTATAATGTACACTGAAGATTGCATTTAATTTCATTGTACGAGGTGCAATGACAGTCAAGTAAAGTAAAGGTTGCTTCCCACCCTGCTCTCCTCTAATCTCTTTCTTCCCTACAGCCACAGGTTATGAGCCTCCATGAATACGAGGAAACGCCACGGCTCCCAAAACACTGAAGAAGGCGTTTACCTGGGGCCGTCCCAGACGCAAGCTTTCTCTCCGCTGGGTGCCCCTCCTGCGGCAACCACTGCTGCCCCCATCAGCCTTCCCCAACCTCAGTGGGACGCCATGTCATGTCAGGACCGCACCCACGAGTTCCGCTCGGCCTGCAAGTCCTTGCAAAGCAGAGAAGTGAGTAGGGGAGGCGGGGGGGGGGGGGCAAGGAAGACCCTGATGCTCGATGCTGCTTTGAACCCTGGACCGAGGCGGGGTTGACGTTGTAGAAGGCAGCACCTTACGAAAAGCTTGGGGTTGTATTTTGGTGCCACGGAGTCCTGATAGCGTGAAGAAAAAAATCCACAGAAATGGTGCTTCAATGCAGTTAGAAAGGTAGAAATCCGACCTGCAGAAATTCACCCTCCCAACCCTGCTGGTTTGGCCCCGAGCATTTTAAAAGCTTGTTCACCCTCTGCACCTCCCACAAAACTCTCTTTAAAAAATCAGAGGTTCTTTGTAGCTTGAAATCCAGATGCCTGGAAGAAAATTGATTTATTCTATCCCTATTTTCTTTCCGAGGAGTTTTCTGGGACGAGAGAAGAAGTGGGAAATGTTTTCTCCCTTCAGTCCTGGCAGTCTTGTGGAAAAGAAGTCAGAACCAACTTCCCATTTTCCAGTGTAATTCCGACTACAAATTGCTTTCCCCCCCCACCACCACTGTGCCAAAATTTTCAGCTTTGCCCTTTGGATGATTCTCAGTGTGAGATTGTTTGGCTGGCAGGAATAAACAGCTGGTTTTCCCTGCTGTGATTGAAATCTTAAAAAGACAGGAAGTGGCCGTTGGTCTCCTGCCCAGCGTAGGAAAATGCACAACCTAAATTAATATTTTTCCCACCCACCCCGGAAAAGTAAGGATATGTAGACTTTGGTTTTTGATGGAGTAAAAAAAAGCCATTTTTCTCTTTCTGCTTTTCCATTTCCAGAATGGGCTTCACGTAAACAAGCCGGCTCAGAGTGGAGCCATACGGCAAAGAAGTGAATTTACTCTCATGGCTAAGTAAGCACCTTGGGCCCTTTATGTCTAGCAAGGTTGACCCGTTAAGTCAGGGTGGGCTGCGTGGAGACACTGATGGCTGCTGAAATGGGTATGCAGTCTCAGGCTGCGTTAACAGAGGGATAGAATCAAGAGCATGTGAAGAGTTAATACTGTTTTGTAAGGCTTTGATAAGGCTGCACTTGGAATATTTTATTCAGTGTTGGTCACCACTATATAAAAAAGATGTTGAGACTGTGGAAAGAGTGCAGAGAAGAGCAACCAAGATAATTAGGGGGCTGGAGGATAAAACATACGAATAACATTTGCAGGAATTAAGTATGTCTAGTTTATTGAAAAGAAGGACTATGGGAGACATGATAGCAGGGTTTCAATATTTGAGGGGCTGCCTCAAAGAAAAGGAAGTCAATGTTAGAGTTTGCAGCATAAATTCAAGTCCAGAAAACACACTGATTCAGCAGGATCATTAACTTCTTTATAAACACAATATGAAGTAAAGTTTACAATACCATTTGTAGATTCTTTCAACTTAACATCAGCGGAAACACAAGCAGCAGCAGCAGCTCAGAGCAGAGACCAGTTTCAGTTAGCAAGAAAGTTAGTTTCTCTTCCAATTCTCAGCAAAGCACACAGCCAAACTACACCCAGGCTGTCAGCTCTCCTTGGCTGGTCTGTTGCCATGCTTACTCACTTGCTGACTTTGTTAACCATGTCTCTGCCAGTTAATGAATATACTCTTGACAGTCAAGCTATTCTCCAAAGCACCTGAAGGCAGGACAAGAAGCAACGGGTGGAAACTAATCAAGGAGAGAAGCAACTTAGAACTAAGGAGAAATTTCCTGACAGAACAATTAATCAGCGGAACAACTTGCCTCCAGAAGCTGTGGGTGGAGGTTTTTAAGAAGAGATTGGACCACTATTTGTCTGGAATGTTATAGAATCACCTGTTTGAGCAGGGGGTTGGCCTGGAGGACCTCTAAGGTTCCTTCCAACTCTTATTATTATCTTAGTCTTTTAAGGCAGCATCGCTACAAAAATGCCATAAAATTGGGTGCGGCCCTGTAATTCCTTGACTTTACAATTGACAACTGTAATACTGGCCTCAATTACCATTATAGATTCAGGGCTACCTATAACTTGGTCAGAAGGTAGTTGACAGTGGGAAACGGTATTGTCTGTCAAAGATTTGGTGTTGTATTTGACGGCCCGTCTCTTGTGATTCTCAGGCGCATTGGGAAAGATCTCAGCAACACCTTTGCCAAGCTAGAAAAGCTAACAATTTGTGAGTATCTTGGGATTTACGCAAAGATTTATGCAACTGTAACGCATAGTAATTTTTTTTTTGGATCACGGAGAGGCATCAGCTCCATTAATGGAAAGCGGGAGAAATGCAGGAATGAGAAAACTGTCAGCTGGCTGTGAATCGAAGAGAATATTTGTAGGTCAGGGTTGGACTGTTAGAGTCCTTTGGTACTTTCTGAGCTTGGTTGTTTTCTGGCAGACGTTTCACGACCCAACTAGGGAACGTCATCAGTGCTAGAAGGGAGTGACCGTTGTGGAATGGAGGAGAAGGAGAATGGGTAAAGGAGGAAGAGGACGGTGGGGTCTTTGGTGCTATCTGGGCTTGTTTTCTTGCAGACGTTTCACGACTCTACTAGGTAATATCAGGGCTAGAAGGAAGGGGGGATTGTGGAGTGGAGATGGAAAAGGAGAGGAGGAGGAGGACTGTGGGGTCCTTAGTGCTTTTCTGAGTTTGCTTGGTTTCTTGCAGATGTTTCATGACCGTACTAGGTAACATTATCAGGGCCAGAAGGGAGTGAGGTTTGCAGAGCGGAGGAGAAAGAGAAGGACTGTTGGATCCTTGGTGCTCTCTGAGCTTTGGTTGTTTGCTCACAGACATTTGTTGACTGACTCACATCATCAATGCTTAGAAATATCTGCAGGCATACAGCCAAGCTCTGAGTATACCAAGGACTCCGTGTGAACACTGTGTTTAAGTAACATATATATATATATTTGTCCAAATTGGAATGGGAGAGATCCTGCTGCTGCTGTTGCTCCTCCCTCAACAGATTTTAAAAATAATTCTCGAGTTGCAGCCTGCTAAACTAGAGGCCTGCCACTATAGCTGCCTGTTTTAATCAAGCATGACGTATAAAACAAACCAGAGACACATCAACCTTCACTGGAAAATTTCCAGCCTGGATATTTATTGCTTGCTGTTCTTTTCAGCCCGAACTGGTTTCAGAGTGCTAAAATGCAGTCAAGGAAGAAGGAAGCCTCCTGGCTGTTGCATTACAATCCAAAAA